TAGTTACTTACTTAGTTACTTACTTACTTACTTACTTACTTCCTTACCTTCTTCCTTACCTTCTTCCTTACCTTCTTCCTTACCTTCTTACTTACTTACTTACTTACTTACTTACTTACTTACTTACTTACTTACTTACTTACTTACTTACTTACTTACTTACTTACTTACTTACCTTCTTACTTACTTAATTACGTACGTACTTACTTACGTACGTACTTACTTACTTACTTACTTACTTACTTACTTACTTACTTACTTACTTACTTACTTACTTACTGACACACATGGATACATGCATACATGCCTGCTTGCTTGCTTACTTTTACTTCCTTGCTTGCTTGCTTGCTTGCTTGCTTACTTACTTACTTACATACCTGCCTGCGTATAGTATATGTGCATAGACATGTCATTTGCAAGAGCCACATCTTGTACAGTAATTTGGCAACAAAGCAGCTCAGCCATATTTGCAACAGATACGCCACTGCCGTACACCTAGTGCGTACTAGGATGCGGAGGAGGACAGTGCTTATACGAACACTGGTCATATCCTGTCCCACATGCCATGGTATTAGGTGCACCATGTTCACATAGTATGTGCTGGTATGACCCCGTCCTTTTCGGATCTGTCGTTCGCTTTCAGGTAGGTCTGCCCCATCGCCGCTTCACGCGGCCTCTCACAGGGGACGACGTGCTGGTGGTACCAGAGCTGCGACTTGGATCAAGACAGTGTACCAATACTGAGTCTGTCTTTTTTGAGTAGAAGATGGCTGAGTGCATGCCCCCAAAAGGAAGTAGAGGGATCGAAGCTGTGAGCTTTCCCCATCTTCAGCTTGACGATGAACTGATTGGGATGTGGGAGCTAGCCATCTGCCCCTGCTAGGCTTTGTGATCAAGATGACCTGTCTCTTTATCACAAAATGGTGGAGGAAATCCACGTCGCACAAGCCGATGGAAGCAAGGAAGCCAGATGGGCGTCGTGGAAAGATGGCTGCCATTTAATTACGAAGGCGCCGGAGTGTTCTGCTACCTATTGTGATGTGGTTGCTCGGGTCATCGCTTATTTCAAGATACTGGAGCCATCTGTGTACTCTCGCTTCAATTGGTACGTGAACGGGGCAGACTGGAAGCCACTGCACCACGACACTGCCGCGTTCAGCCAGCGACGGCTGGGCAAGCAGAATATCACTGTAGGGGTTTCCTTGGGAGGCGAGCGGGAGCTTGCATTCAGACATGTGCAGCATGGCACCCTGGCATATTTCCCCCAAGTGAACGGAATGGCTTTCTCGTTCGGGAGACGCATAAATATGAACTGGAAGCATGGGATCAATGCCCTTCCCCCAGAGAAGCACAATCAGCTTGGGCGGATTTCCATTATCCTTTGGGGATGGACGGAGCTTGCTGCCGAGGAGGATGATGCAGAATTTGGTGAGGCAGTCGAGGGTGAGGTGCTCAAGGCAGAGGCCTTCCACAGAGTTTGTAAACAGTACCAGAAGGGCAAGTGCACTTATGGGGATCGCTGCAAGTTTACGCACTCCATGGAGTCGCCGATTGCGAGCATCGGCTAGCCTATGGCTGGCCCGCCAAAGATATTCAAAGCACATCGACCTTACTGCTCTCAGCTATTGGCAAGAGGTGGGCACGTTCAGTCCGACTGCCTGAAGCTGTGGTAGCCTGTGGCTGCACCATTTACCTGTTGGCCAGCGACCTGCCTTTGCAATCGGCGAAGCTGAATGATGACGAGATGGGCAGTCGAGGATGAGCTCCAGTGAACAACCCAAGCCCTGCGTGCGTGTCAATGGGCGTTCCGCAGCCCAGGTGCCGAAAAGGGAAGCTACATACGCGTCAGCACGTAACAAAAAATGTTCGGATGCTCTTGTCTTGAAGGGTTCGACTCTTTCTGCAAACTTCTGCACATTTGGTTTGTTAAGTCGCCCCTTGATGCGACAGGTAGAGCAGTTGGAGCAGAAGAATGCTGAAGCGAAGAAGCGAGCAGAGACCCCAGATCTCAGGGAGTTCTCTTCTGAATCGACGGCTTCTGATCGGGAACTTTCAAGGATTGGCAGCTGCGAGATCGGATTGAGAGCCGCCTGGCAGCAAGCGGACCCGTAACCTTAACCCGAGTTCCATGCTGTCAATGCCCAGACTTTCCGGACGTCCAGGCCTCGAGGAAACCGAAGCCAACGCAGAAGGTCAGCTGAAATGGCTGAGGCCGCCACAAAACAAGTTGACATGTGGAGTGGAACACGCCGCGGCAGGGTCAGATTCCCGACAGGTCAGAGCTCGATACTCGAAGTGACGAGCTCTCCGAGGCAGCTGAAGCAACGACCCCTTGAATTCGTTCATGTGTTCTCGTCTCCTGTCAGGCAAACCAGCAGCTTTCCTTGACAAAGGCAGACAAGGCCAGTTTCTTCTTCATGCCTGCTCCTGCTGCTGTCGCGCGATCAGGGCTTTTATGACTTTATCAGTTTGGTGGGACAGATGCTTGAGCCATGGCCTTCGCGACTCAAGATCCTCTTCCGAATCGTCAGGGCCAGGCGGCCATTCGCCAGACAGAAACCCTCTTGAATCCGGAACTAGTGGGATTGTCCGGTGGTTGAGTGGCTCCTGCGCCGCGGTGCTCGGATCCCCGCTTGGGTTTGCCTAGTTGTGTGTGCTGAAAGCCAGGAAAAGATGACCGCACACCTCAAGGAGGTGAGCGATGCTCTCCAATCTTCGAAGCAGGACTGCCAAAGCAAAGCACGCCTCTAGCACATTGATTTCGATGCCTAAGCACCGTTGTGAGCAGAATCTTGGTCAAAGCAGGTGCAACTGTGTAGTTGTCGCAAGAAGGAGTCAAACTAACAAACTCGAGCCAAGAGTGCGCCATGTCAGCAGAGAGCAGAGTGTCTCGTGTCACTCGTGGAACGGCCATATTCGTCTTCTCTCTGCGAGGAGCTCTCGAAAGCCCAAGCAGAAGCCAGTCCTCGGCTCCCTGCTCTGCTTGAGCTGTCCGTTCTAGCCATGACTAGGACTCGGCGTGGAAATCTCCATGAGCTTAAAAGCGAAGCTTTTCCGGATTGCAGCAAAACTCGATGTACAGTGACTTGCGCCTCGCTCTCTCCTTTTCCTCCGAGTTAAGGCTGGAGGCGGCGCCCACTGCCGAGACCCTTGAGGTGGCAGCTGCGGCCCCTGCCAACTGAAAGAGTCCCTTTCTGCTCAGGGTGCTAGACTTGGACCGTGCTTAAGTCGTCTGACACTCCAAGGTTTCAGTCCGCACTCATCGCGAGATAGTAAGCACATGTCCAGGCATTCCATGAAACCACCCGTAAGCATCCATTGCACGCAACATGCAGGGAGAGCCCTCCTGTGTTGCGGCATGCTTTTCTTTCCAGCAACTGTGGATGACGGCAGCTTTCTGTTGCGAGGCCCATGCCGAGGAGCTGACACGTCTGCGAGAGGAGTCGAGCAGCTACTATTATAGAGTATATTATATAGTATATTCTAGCATTTTATAGTATATTATGGTATAGCTAGGTGGGGTCTTGGAGCTCTTGAACTTGAGTGTGGGGTCTCCTACAGAGCATCTTGAGGTCGGTTCGGCCCTTCAGGCCTGGAGTGTCTCCGCTTTATTAGATGCCAAGACCGGTGTGCCAACGACGGCAAGCCGAATGTGGCTGTGGCGTTGTGCACGAAACCGGATAGACAGCCTTCGCACTGGAAGCATGTGCTGCACGACAAGTTCTACCAGTTTTGGAGGGTGTGTAGGCCTGCACGGCAGCTGTCACTAGTGTATAATATTGATATACTTCATCCCCCGCCCAGGCAGCTCGCGTCGCATGAGAAGCACCAGGAGCGGTTCTGAAGTCACTGAAGCTTGCAGAGGACTTGGCGGCAAGTGTGGCGAGCGAGGAACGCCTGCGGCTCTTTTCTCAGATGAGGGAGGCGGATGTATTCTCCATGCAGCATTCACCTCGCACTCCAGGCAGCGGTTCAAATCTGGGTGGTGTTTGTATCTTCGTTTGCCTCAGTTTGTGCCTGGATCTCCGTTCGGCTCCAGCCTATGCCTATGCACCCATGCGGCCGTAGCGTTCACCCGTCATTAGATGGCTGAGCTGGCGCAGCGGGTGGATGAAGTCCTGCAGAAGCAGCATGCACAGCTCCTGGCCTCCATGGAGGCTTGGTTGAGCAGGGTGGAGGAGACCCTTGACAAGGGGCGCATGGGGTTTGCTCCCCTCGCTCCCCTTGGATTTGGTCCTCCGCAGTGTTCCGAGATGCTCCAGGTGGAAAACACGACGCAGGAGTCGGGGTCGGTGGAGCTGGCCCTACCACCAGAGAGGCAGGAAAGCAAGCAAAAGGACACTCCGACGCACTCCGTGTCCACCAAAACCATACGAAAGACGCTTCAGGCACACGATTATGAGATGGCTCAGGAAGAGGCCACTCGCTTTGAGTCTTACAAGCAGACAGTGACCAAGGAGGTTGTAGCGCCATCGAGCCCAAGTTGCTGCAGGAAATGGGCCCAAGCTATCTCCGGCTCTGCAGCTTTCAATATTGTCGTGGCTTTTGTCATTATATCCAACTCAGTCTTCCTGGGAATGCAGCTGGAGTGGACTGCAAATTCGGGCATCTCGGTCCAACAGACAGGTCCCCGTTTTCAACGCACTAAATGAGAGTCTGCTCTGTTTATGTATGCTTAGATCCAGACCTGCATATGATGTGGCCGACGGAGCAAGTAGCCCAGGCGCAAATGATGCTGATGCAGCTTTTGCCTTCCTAGTTGGCCATATTTGCTACGCTGTCATTTTCACCGTAGAGAGCCTCGGTGGCAAGTCTTCGGCAGCCTGATTCAGGGGAAGAGTTAAGAAAGTCCCATCGCTTGAATGTTCCCAACCATGTGTTTGCTTTGAGAATTGACGCTCGAATACCCTTGTGAAAGCCAGGGCATGATGCATGTGCATCTTGTACCACCTGTTTCATGGACTTCATACATACTATGTACGACGCTATCAACATACTATAGCGAGATGAGATGTAGCAGAATTAGTATAGAGCATGTAACACTGCGTAATCTTGTATTGTAAGGTTCCGACATTCAGAGATATAGCTTGATCTTCGTTGAGCCGAGCGTGGACATGCCTTCTTTGCAGTATCCTGTGATCCTTGTCAGGACGAGCATCCGGTTTGTGGCTTTGGGACCTGCGAAGTTCTTCTGTGGCCCTGACAGTGCCTGGAATTGGCTGGACGCCACGGGTTAGAAAGCTGCAGTGCGCAATGTCTGTCGCAACTAGTAAGTCCTTGGATGCAGAAGTAGGGGACCGGTTTCCTTTAGCATGAAAGGTTGATCGGAGTTTAGGCAAACGTTCGAATCTAGCTTTTCCAGGACATTTTCATTGTGGTCCCGGCTTGGGTGGAGCTCGCTGTGGACATAGGTGGATCTGCCAGCAACTTCCGGATCATACGCGTGTCTCGGACTTGTTCGCAGTGCAGGTGTTTGTTTCTTTTTGTCCCCTGCGGCCCAGCATTGTCTGTAAGGTTGCTGTACTGACGATGAAAAGTGTGAGATTCTCTTCTCCTCATGCCCATGTGCGGTAGCTCGTGTATGTTAGTCGGTCATGGTGGAACAAGCAACGTAACCACCCTGACTGGTTGCACTGGACCCACCCTACTAAGGGTACCAATCTGCGTAGACTCAGGTGTTCCGCGTCACCCGGCTACTGCAGCTCTTCCGGTCTGTACGGCTTGTTCGCTTCATCAGCGCTTTCCGCGAGCTTGTCTTGCAACTCGCACCAGCGCTTGTCGAAATCTTTGGGCTTTAGGCTAGGCAGAGCTTTTCGACAATCCCCCATGATCCTTGTCTGGCAACATCTTGTGTGCATGGCTGAAGCAGGGGCATCAGCCGCATCGGCCGTGGTTTGAGCCAAGGTCTGTCATTGACACCGTTCGCCAGGTATTCTGGGCCATGGTTCTGTTGGTCTTAATGATATACAGCTTCGGTATTCTGTTTACTGACATGTCTCTTCAGTACGTGGAATCGAACTCCGTGGACGAGGAGATGGATAAGTACTTTGGGAGTTTGTATATCTCCTGCAACACACTTTTCCGGGCCTTGTTGGAAGGATTTGACTGGGTGGACGCAGCAGAGAGCCTGAAGCCTCTGGGTGCTTTCTGGATCCAGCTCTTCCATGTCTACGTCGCTGTGGGTGGCCTTGCGATCCTAAATGTAATCACAGGCCGGAGAGTCCATGGGTAAAGTTGCGAGGCGTTTTGAGAAGTTGTTTGCAGGAAATCTGCAAGCGCGAGATAGAAGCGCATAACATGTGTCATGCTGCGAAGTGTGGAGCCGACCGAGCGCGGCAGAAGCTGAAGTTGTGACGACGCTTGTGCATCACCCCTGGTTTATCGTTTCCCAGGCTGTGTTTATGCAATGGATCCCGTACTGTTTGCCTGTCTGACCTGTGCTAGAATCATTGGCGGGCATGTCTTGGGTGAGCTGCACCTCAAGTTTGTCGTGGTGTTGCTCATTGCTTCCGGATACAAACGTCGACACGGCCCATGCCCCATTCTGTGAGTTCATGTCTGCCCATGTTTTGACAGCGTGGCGTGAGGGAAGTGATTTCTAGTACGGCTCTTCATTCTGAAGTCGGTTTAATTCAACCGCTGGTGACCACATGAGTGTTGATACTCTAGCGCCAGAGCTGCCTCCGGCACGAAAATGCACGTCCGCGGCCATGCTTAACGGAATGCTAGCGCCCAAAGAAAGCATACAAGCAAAGGGGGGGGGGCGTGCCTTGGACGCTTGGCGTCTATTTGACGCATTAGTGTTTTTCTTATAGGAAATCCCAGCAAGTGCGGGCGGCTGGGCGGAAGGTTGGGCGGGCCAGTAGTCGACAACATTTTGGTGTTCAACCCTTCTGGTCCGGAGCAGAAACGGCCCGACCGCCCCAGGCAGCCCCAGCAGGCCCAGCAGACTCAGCGGACGATTCCCTGGACAGTCGGCCGGACCGCCGCCCAGCAGGCCCAGCGGACCCAGCAGACGATTTGCAGACGATTTGCTGGAAAGTCGGCCCGAACTTAGCGCACGATGAAAAGTCGGCCGGACCGCCGCTCAGCAGGCCCAGCGGACCCGGCAGACTCAGCGGAAGTCGGCAGCGGATCCAGCTGACTCAGCGGACGATTTGCTGGAAAGTCGGCCCGAAAGGCCCAAGCAGCCCACCCAGCAGACTCAGTGGACAATTTGCTCGAAAGTCGGCCGGACCGCCCCAAGCAGCCCCAGCACGCCCAGCGGACCCAGCAGACTCAGCGGACGATTCCCTTCAAAGTCGGCCGCCGCGCAGCAGGCCCAGCGTACCCCGGACGATTTGCGGCCCAAGCAGGCCCAGCAGGGCCAGCGGACCCAGCTGACTCAGCGGACGATTTGCTGGAAAGTCGGCCCGGCAGGCCCAGCGGACCCAGCAGACTGATTTGCTGGAAAGTCGGCCCGACCGCCTCCGGTCGACTGCCCGAAGCAGCCCCAGCAGGCCCAGCGGACCCAGCAGACTCAGCGGACGATTTGCTGGAAAGTCGGCTCGGCTGCTGCCAGCAGACTCAGCAGACGATTTGCTGGAAAGTCGGCCCGACCGCAGCCCAGCAGGCCCGGCAGACTCAGCGGAAGTCGGCAGCGGACCCAGCTGACTCAGCGGACGATTTGCTGGAAAGTCGGCCCGAAAGCCCCAAGCAGCCCTAGCAGGCCCAGCGGACCCAGCAAACTCAGCGGACGATTTGCTGGAAAGTCGGCCAGACCGCCCCAAGCAGCCCCAGCAGGCCCAGCGGACAATTGTGCTGCAAAGTCGGCCTGTCCGCCGCCCAGCAGGCCCAGCAGACCCAGCAGATTCAGCGGACGATTCCATGTACAGTCGGTCGGACCGCCGCCCAGCAGGCTCAGCGGACGATTCCCTGCGGAACATCGGCCCGACCACCCCAGGCAGCCCCAGCAGGCCCAGCGAACCTAGCAGACTCAGCAGACGATCCAGCAGGAAGCTTGATTAGGGGACCGGCAACAAGAGTCGTTGAGAACGTGCAGGACCCCCTACCGAACCCCTGAAAATTGAATCGCCCGATCTGTGCGTGGGAGGGGGTGGTCATGTGAAGTAGCTGCTCGGATCAAAACACAAATCCTTGTGGGCACCTGCCTGTTTTGTCATCTTTGGAGGTTTCCTTGCTA